AGGCGGCACGGGGGGCAGGTTGCGAACCGGGCAGGGTTCTTGGCTGTGGTGCGGAGGTGACCGTTCAGGAAGGACGGCCGTACGCAGGATCCCCGGAGGAGGATCCGGCAGGGGCTGGCCTGGGGAAGCCAGCTGGGGAAAACCACGCAGGGTTTTACTGAGCACACCTCCTCGGCCGGAGGTGAGCGTAGGGTTTGTCGTCCATTGCTGATCGCACCGCTGACCATGCCTGTTTGAGCAACACCATGAGATGTGAGGATCCATCGTGGTTCCAGCTGCTTTGCTTGACTGTGGCCCTTCTCGTGGGACGAGCTGTGGATTTTGTCTTGCCCTCGCAGCCCATATCTCAAGAAACGTCCTTTCCCTGCCGTCCCTTTCTCGCTTGGAGCCTGCGTTTTACCTGCCGTGTGTGGGACGGAATGCCCCAGATTGCTGCTCCAGCATCCTTATAGTCGTGTTGCTCGTGCTGCGCCCCGAATTCGTGTTTTACAAGGCAGGTGCTTGTCCATCACAAGGTTCTGGTTGTCCTGTGCTATTAAATCGGGAGCAAGTGGAGCGTGCCGCTGCCTTAGAGGCAGAAGGATCGTGTCTGGAGAACACCAGCTTCCAGCTCTGGGGTGCACAGCTCTCCCCAGCCCTGGCTGCTTTGGGTCTGCATGGGCCAGCCTTTCCTCTGGTTCTCACTGTGCCCCACATTTCCTCCCTGTCCCCGGTGTCTGCCCCCAAACCACCTCAGAAGCTCTTTATCTGCCAAAATTGTTTGTGGGGTGCAGAGGTTTGGGGTGCAATGAGCAGCAAATGTAAGGACCAGCCTCGCCACTTGGGCCAAAATTTGAAGGTCTCGTTTTCCAGCTGTTGGAAGACCGCTGGTGGAATCAGGGTGTTGGGTGCTGATGGTTTGCAGGTGAGCAGAGCTCCTCCCGCCGCCTCCTGCAGGGCTTGTCCTGCAGGATTTGGCCCAAAGCCCCTGTTGCTGTCTGCTGGGGCCGCTGGTGGCTGCTTGCATGTGCCCACGTAGCGTTCAGGCTGGTGGTACCAGTCCTTCCAAGCGTCCTCCTTGAGCTCATCCCAAGAAAGGGCAAAGCTTCGCAAAACCAGCTTCCAGCTGCCGATTGGCTCCCAAAACCCAGCTGTGTGCGTGGGGTGGCTCGGTCGGAAAACATCCCTGATGTTGGGAGAGGTGGTCCTGCTCTGCTCTGATGGGAGCATTAGAGCTGGACCAGGCGAGAACACAGGACGCTGCTTTGGTTGGAGCTGATAGACTACAAGCGGGACTATGAACGCTGGTCTGGGTGGACAATGGATGAGTTCATGGCTTGGCTGGATCCTCCATGGACTTGGGTGTCTCAAAACTCCCCGCTGTCCAAGCACGTCTTCTTGCAGCCAGGCTGGGGAGGTGTTTGGTGGTCATTACCTCTTGGGAAGCCTTTGCAATGCTTCCTGTGCATCCATGCCCCAAGGCAGCACCGCGGCGAGGTTGGGAGTGCAACCACGTGAGGTTGGGAGTGCAACCACATGAACTTGGGAGTGCAACCAGCCAAGGTCGGGTGTGTTGGCCATCTCCAAGGGCAGGCCTCTGAGGATATGTATCTACGTTTCCCCACGAAAAGCAGCCCCACGTTGCTGGGAAGCGGCGGACGTCAGTAGGACGCACCTTTGGAGAGCCCCCCTCAAGGGGTAGCAGGGCTGGCCGTGGTGGCTCTCAGGGTCCTGTCCCCCGTCCCCCCGTGGCTGGGCAGCCCGGGGCAGCGCGGTCAGGGGTGTGCGTGCGTGCATCCGGGTCGTGCCTGTGCAGCCGTGACTCTGCGGAGGCTCATTTCAGGAGGTTTCCTTGGAAACCCGGCAGCCAGCATGAGGAGGGAGCCTTCCCGAGACAGCTTCGGCCCCGGCGGGAGGTGACCGGGGCAGGGCTGGCAGGAACGGCTTTCCCCGGGGCTGAGCTGCTCCAGCTCGGCGCAGGGAAGCGGGATGCTTTGGCAAGCTCTCACCAGCTGCCGTCCGATTCCCATAACGTCTTTCCCTCCTGCTGCGGCCTGCCTGCAGACCCTAACCCGGGGCTTTGTCTTTGCAGGAGCAGGAAGATCCAGATCCGAAACATCCCCCCCCACCTGCAGTGGGAGGTAAGAAGCGGACGATCCCAAAAACATCCCGTTCATCTCCTCCTCCATCAGTCGTGCTGAGCAGCACGAGCTGTGCTGCTGGAGCTGTGGTCTGCACATGGACCACCCTTTACCTTCCCAGTAACCCCAGGAGGAAGGTGGAGCGTGAACTGGGCTCCATCTCCTGCCTACTTGTGGGTCCCGGAGCCGCGGGGCAGCTTTGGGATAATGGGATGCAGGTGGGTGAAGGCATTTAAGCAGTTGGGTGACGCTGGTTCTTTGGAGGGTGTCTGCGGGTGAAGCCGGCTCTGCCCCTGCCTGCTCCCTTTTTTTTTCCGGCAGCCTCTCCTGCCTGCCTCACCTGCCCCCTTTGCTGCTCTACCCCCAGGTGCTGGATGGCCTGTTAGCTCAGTATGGGACGGTGGAGAACGTAGAGCAAGGTAAGATGGTCCAACGCGGTGATCCCCGTCTGTGCAAAAGTCCCAGCGCCGCTCCCCAGCTCTGCCCATGCCGGAGAAAATCCAGAAACCTGGTTTTCCCAGTCGTGGGTACTGGGATAAAATGGTTTTCCTTGCGGACACAGGCCCTGCTGGCAGAGGTGGGGCCACCTGTCCAGTGGTGGGATGGTGGTGGCCATCAGTCCTCCATCCCCAGACCTTCTCCTGGTTGCTGGCAAATGAAAACCCAGTTGTGCCTGCAAGTGAAAACTTTGTGGCTTGGGGCCTGCCGGTGGATCGGTGATGTCCGGCCGTGCATCCTCCTTGGGGAGGGAGGGTGGCAGGATCTGGCCTTGGGACCTTCTGCTCTAACGCTCCTTCTCTTGCTTTTCCCCCAGTCAACACAGACACAGAAACAGCCGTTGTGAACGTAACGTATGCAGCTAAAGAAGAAGCAAAAGTGTAAGTGGGCTTTGTTTCCTTTTGTCCGTATTTTCACACCACCCGAACTTTTCCTGAGGAATCCCAGGTATCTTCCAGGCTTCTTCATGTCTTCTCTGTAAGCCTCCTTGGGTTGTTTCTAAGCTCTTACAGTGTAAGCTTCAAGTGCCTTAAGGACTGTCCGTGTATCTTCTCAAGATACAGCAGGCAGGTGTTGGTTTTATCATGAGCTGTGTCATCTCACATGTCTTCTGCCAGCGGTCTTCTCTTTGCCCCACCGCTGGGCGGTCTCCTGCCTTCTCCCCTCATATGGGAGATGGGGTTCCTCGTGGTGCCCCATCATACATGCACAGGCACCGCTGGACCAGCTTGGGGCCATCAGCCATGTGGTTGTCCCCTCTTCCTCTGTGCCTTCTCTTGTCTCCAAGGGGCTCCCAGATGTACCATCTTGCAATTCCCTTTGGACGCTGTCCTTCCCTCAGGGTCGTCTGCAGGGTTGCAGCAGCCTTGTCTTCAGGGAGCAAAGCGCTCTAGAAAGCTGAGGGTCGGGTCAGATAAGCAGTTCGTCAAGGAGTCATCTTCCTAGGTTGGAAGTCCAGACCTAAACTGGGAACGCACCGGATTAATCACCAGTCCGACCACCCAGCCCGAGCTGCTGAAGAGGTGGAATATGGTGAAGGAGGTGGGAGAGATGGTGAAGAAACGCTGCGACGATGGGAGATGTAAGTACCCCCCTCCATTTAGAGAAGATTCAAGTTGGAGACCAAAATATTCAGAGACTGTCGCCTCCTGCTTCCTGGAGCCCAGAGGAACCAGCTGATGGACTTCTGAAAGGCTTTTGGAAAGTTCTTCTGCCGTGGACAAGAGAGAAGGCCTTTGGGTGGATGAATAACTGGTTAGAGGGGCTGAGAGGGAGCCAAGGAGTCTATGGCCGGTTTCTGCAGGGGAGGGAGAGCAGCAGAGGGTAAATCACCTGCACGTCGTGCAAAGGAGTCGTAAAGAAATGCCACCCATCAAGAAAAACTTTAAAAGGGAAGAGCCCACTGTGGCTGTGCATCGGTGCAGCAGGGCTGTGTGAAGACATGCTTCAAGGTTTATCATAGCCAGCGGAGTTAAAAAAAAATACAAATTAGGGGTTATTTCAGAAATGCAAGGACTATTTCAAGCAAAACGCGTTGTTACAGGCTTGTAGAGACTTCGGCCCTTTGCTAGAGACCAGCGCTGTTAGCGGTGAGTAAGCAGGGAGCCCATCTCATGCTTAGCGGCCAGAGTCGTTTTGATATGACCAGGAGCCACGTCCACGCAGACCCCACGCAGGGAAGAGCCATGGATAGCCAGGCTGGTTCCCAAGTGCAAACGTTACCAGGTTGGGAGCAGCTCCGTGTTCTGTCGGACCTCCGACGGCAGGGCACTGCAGTGCAGGAATGTGATTGTGACGGAGAAACTCTCGTTGCGGAGGTTTTTGTTGACGCTGGGTTGATGTGCCTCAAAAGCAGGATTTTCCAGTGCAAAGTGGAATATGAGCCTTGTTCTGGTTTTGGGAGGATGCTGCATGGTGGGAACAGCCATGGTTGTGCAGGATGGTGGCAGAGATAGATGTCCCAAGGCCATGGGACATGGGCCATGTCCTACTTTGAGGCCCTTTGCTGACGGACGTTCCAGCAACTTCTCGTCTGTGTTGAGCCATCATAAGGTTGCACTTGTGAGGACAGAGATGGAGAGAATGATCGGCTGGTCCAGGAGGCCAGAGGAGGGTCCTCCTTGTGCCTCTTGGGGTGGCCATGCTGGCCACGCTCCAGCCTTAGCTGGCCGGAGGAAGGTGCCATGGACCACAGATAAACGCAGCATGAGCCGCTGTGTCTTGGGATGCGTGGCAAGAAAGGAAGACGAAGAGTCTCACCAACCCAGCGGTGCCTGATGCTTTGGGGTAAGAGGCGTCAGGGCTAGAGAAGACGCTGTGATCGGTCGCATCCAGCCGGACTGATGCCTGTCTTGGGTGGTGCTCAGCAACTCGACGCAGAAGCAAGTGATGGGAGGAAAGGCCAGGGTGGTTCGTGGGTACGTGTGTTTGGTTTAGAGCACCAGGAACAGGTGAAAGGAAGACCTCGGCAGAGAAATCAGACTGTGGGGAACTGCACTGATTTCGGAAGGGGACAATGAAGCTGCAGAAGTCCTCGTTGGATGTGAAGTTCAGGCCTGGCAAGGAGCCGCTTGCAGCCGTGCATTCATACACCTGCCTGTAAATAGCCAAAGCGGTAGGAAGAGGGAAGAAGTAGGGCTGAGGCCATCACTGCTTGCAGAAGTCATCCCAGACTCCAGCACGACCGAGCATCGCACCGCCGAGGAGGGGCTTGGGGGGATGAAGAGCCCAGGTGCTGCACCCTGAGCTTCTCCGGAGCTGGAAAGGGAGTTGGGGTTCCCGATAGAGGGGCACCACATGCCGCATCCTTCTCCTTGGAGTGGTGGCTCTTGCTCAGAGCCCGTGTTGCCTTCTCCACGTCCAAAAAGCCCACGAGAGTGTTTCCACACTGTGTGATAGCTTCTGGCCAGCACATCCCCTGGGTGAAGTGGCAGATCCCCATGCTGGCATCCCACCTCTGCTTGGGGAGACAAGCCGTGTGCCAGCCCTGGCATCACCCACATGGGAGGGGACATCGTCCCACCGCGCTATGGGGCTGCTCCGCGCGGGGAAAGTGGGGGGCTCCGGCTTCCCGTGGCCACTTTCTCCAGACTGGGGAGGGAGGAAGATGCAGGGACCACGGTCTACAGGGGCAAGTGCTGGGGTGCTGGAGGGGTACCCATCGACCACGGTCTACAAGCAGGGGGGGGGTGCTCTCCCCGGAGAGCCCCTCGCCACCCCTGCTTCTCCCTACCTTGCAGAGCAATTGAGAAGCTGAGCGGCCACCAGTTTGAGAACTATTCCTTCAAGATTTCCTACATCCCGGATGAAGAGGTGAGCTCCCCTCCGCCCCCCCAGCGATCCCCCCGTGGGGGCCACTCTTCCAGGGAGCGGGGCTCCTCCCCGGGGGGCTCCTCGCAGCCCAAACAGCTCGATTTCCCACTGCGGATGCTGGTGCCCACGCAGTTTGTTGGTGCGATCATAGGAAAGGAGGGCTTGACCATAAAGAACCTTACTAAGCAAACCCAGTCCAAGTAAGTACCTCGAATGGTTTTGTTTCCTTCCGTAGGGCGCTGTAGGTCCCCGGCATGGGTCCTTCATGCACTTGAGGCTTTTGAGTGCCGGCCAGCGCTGTTTTCTTGGGGTGCCGCCTTCAGGTGATGGTGGCAGAGCCCATGTCCTAAACGGTTCCTGCTGGCCAGGGGGGTCTGGGTGCGGCAAGAGGGGGATGCACACCGAAAACGGCCAGGAATGGGTTTCTAAAGCCTAATCACGAGAACAGCTGGGGATCAGGCTTTAGGGAGAAATGGCAAGTTTGGGGATAAGGTGCCGAAGGGGTACAGCGGCCGGTGCCCGTGCGGTCTTTGCCCTCGGGATTTGCTCATCCCGCGGTGCCCCGTATGGGCTAGAGCTGTTGTAGGGGGAAAGGGGGCACCGAGGGAGCGCTGCCTTGAGAAGGATGTGCTTTTCGTAACTGTTTGAAGCCTTTTTTTGCAATCTAACATTTTTATTTTTGAAGGGGGAAAAAAAAGGGAGGGGACTGTCTTGCCAAAGTTTTCCACGTTTCTCTTGTCGATGTTCACGTTGATTGCACCTCTGATTTTCTGCATGGTTTTCCTGCATGGTTTGTTCCTGCCGAGATTTGTTTGTGTTTAACCCAAAGCTGTCTTCTCCCATGCTCATCATCCTGAACCCAGTGGTCCCACAGGACATAGGACTCCTGTACCAGAACATCCTCCAGGGCGTCCTAGTTCTCAGAGGAGCTTTTAGAGGCAAATTATTTGGTAATAGCACGTCCACTTGAGCAGGAGGTAGGAAGACACGCTGCTCTGCAGCCGAGCGAGCCGAACCCCAGCGTTGGGTTTGCAGGAAGAGGTTTGTACGGAAAGGGGGCAGCCGTGTTTAGGAGCTCTTCGAGCCCAGCTAGCCCTAGAGCGTGGCCACCTAGTAGCCATGAGCTGGTCCCAGTTGGCCGCAAGCCCTTCTTCTCCAGGTGAGTCCCCTGGTGTGATGAGCAGTGGGTGTAGCTGTGTCCTTGCCACCCAAGAGCGGAAGGTTGTCCTTTGCAAGCCCTGAGCCTGGCGAGGAAGTGGGAGGCACCGGCTGCCGATTTCTCCCAACCACGAGGCCAACACTGCTGCCTGGGGCAGCTCCTGCCACCGAGCTGTCCCTCCTTGGGGGTTGGCTTCCCATGCCTGCCCTGAAGACCTGGTGCCGTGGAGGAAGGCTGTGCTCCGTGCTCTCACCTCTCCTGACCTGCCCAAGGAGGCCATGTGCCATGGCGGGCCACCACCTCCACTCCAGCCTTGGTCAAGGGGGACCTCAAGTAGTCAGCCCGGGCAGTCACAGGAGACCGTTGCCTTCAGTTTGGGGTGTCAGCCCGCAGCTCTGTCACTGCTCAGGCCACCCTCACTCACCGGTGTGATGATCCTGGGAACGAGGGTGCTGGTGACATCCTGTTGCCCGGCCCCTGCTCCTACCCACAGCGACGATGGGTCCTGGATTCCTCTGGTCACGTAGGACTTCGTCCACACACAGTGATGCCCAGAGATGCTCCTGAGCTCCAGGGGACAAAACTGTCCCCTGGTTGCGCCATCTTCTTCTTGGCTGAGGAGGAGCCCAGACCAAGAGCCCACCCCACCAGACGACCTTCCACGGTGATTGCAGCCCTTGTAACTTGATGAGGAGAGGACCATTGCTACCAAGCGGCCACGGGGCCAGGATAACCCTACGTGCACGCCTTACTGTCCACCTTGAGAGGGCTGTCCCTCATGGCCGCTGCTCTCTGAAGCGTTCCCAGCCCCCCCGTAAGGTGTCTTGGAGGTTTTTCCTGCAGCACCATGGGCAAACCTGCCCTGTCGGTGTCCCACCGTCCCCGTTGTCAGCTACCCTGGTCTCCCCTGCCTGCAGCACCCCGGGGTCCCAGGCAGCTGCTGATGGGGTAAGGGGGTTGAGGGTCTCCTTCTCCATCCACCCGTTGGACTGGAGCTGTGCAGCAGCAGCACTGGGAACACGCTGGGAAGTCCAGAGCCCTCCTCCACCCTCCAGCTCTTCGGGGTGGGACGTGCCTGAACGCAGCGGCCCCTTCCTGGTGCCCCATCTTCTCTGCGAATTGAGCTCGTGCCTGCACATTTGGGCTGGGTTGGAGGTCAGCCGGAAACCTGGCCCGTGTCCCTCTCCTGGGCTTGTCCAGGGTACTCGTCACTTCGGGGCGTCCATTCAGCCCATCCGTGGCTCTTGGACCTTCTTCAGTACAAAGGCTCAGCTGCATGCCCCATCTCCACCAGCCTCAACTCATGGGTTCAAGAAGCTGCCTGACTCCTGTCTGTGGGGTTTCTTGGGGCAGCCGTGGATTCATCAACGGTTCCCCGTAGCTGGGAGCGTCACCCCGGTGCGACATTGCGGCACCGCTCTGGGGCGTGGGCCTGTCATCGCCTGGTGTGGCACGTTGTGGTGCGTTTGCCTTCTCCCTGGCAGAGGGGGTGGCGGTGGGTGGCCCCGTGCCTGCCGGGCGCTGCCTCTGAAGGAACGGATCCTCCAAGTCAACCCGATGGAGCTCCACAGCTGGGAGCGCCTTAGAGGGTGTCACGCCGCAGGCAACTGGGTCACTGCGTGCTGTAGACGTAACCGAAGGGCAGGGAGAGCTCGGCAGTGCCGGTGTCTCCAGCACCTCTTTGCACAGTCCAAGCAGGACCGGTCTCCTGCCTGAGCAGCTCTGGCTGAAGCTGTAGGAGACCTGGAGAGATGTAGCCTGCAAAGGGCATCAAATGCTGTGTTCGTTCCTTCTTCAATGCTCAGATGAAACCACCCTGAGGTCCCTTTTGAAGTTGGTGAGGTAGGCTCTTCCCTTATCTCGGGGAAGGTTCACCCAGCAGCTCTGCCTCTACCTGCAGATGAAGTGTCCTTGTTCCTACACACTGGTTCATGAGCTCCTGGAAGAGTTGACCTGGGCAAACCCACCGTGACCCTGCAGCATCCAAATGTGGCACTGATCAGGGGTGACTCTGCACCACAACCCTTGACCTTGCGTGCACAGCAGCACCCATGAATGATCCCGATCAGGATGGGGACCTGTTATGAAAACAGAGGCATGGCCGGAAGGTGCCGTGTTGGAGCTGAGCGCTGGTGGCATTCGCTGAGTGGCTGAGCAGCCACTACTGCACCTTCTCAGAAGACCTGGGCCAGCCCAGCCCTGGCTGCAGCAGAGACAGGGTCGGCGAGGTGGTGAC